AGTACCCAACCCTTATTAGAATGATCTGCATAACCTAGATGAGAATTTCGCACCCCAATCCGATATGATAGATAAAGGAATGCTATGGCGACACACAATATTATCTCTAAAGATCCTTGCATAATCTTCAAATGAATAGGTACACTTTATAGGAATGAAATTAGCGTATTTGGTCAACCTATCAACAACCACCCATATAGAGTCATATTGCGTTTGTGTCCGAGGTAAACCTACCACAAAATCCATATTTATGTCTTACAACTTCCAAGTAGGAACTTAGATTTCATGGGGTATACAACCCAACTTTTGATGTTGTGCTTTCATTTGTAGGCAATTTGGACACATAGCAACACATTCCTCTATGTCCTTTTTCAAAAATTTCCCACCAAAATACTTCCCTAAGTTCATGGTACAGTTATGTCAAACACAGATAAATGGAGTAATGGGACCCAAGTGCTTCCTCAAAGATACGGTTCATCAAATCTTCTACATTGGGAATACACAACCTTCCTTGATACCTCAAGACTCTATGCCCCCCCCTAAGGATAATGACTCGTTAAGCTGGTCAATAACCAATTTCTTCAACTCTATCAGTTGTTCATCAAGTGTTGTTTGGACTTCACCTGAACTATAAAAGATGACTCGGTTTATTCATGTACCATAAAACCACCATTACGAGAATCTTACAACCTTACATCCAACCTAGCCAACCTATGAACAGCCTTTACTAGTTCTTTCTTTGCATAATCTACATGAGACACATTACCCACGGTCATACCACTTAGAGCATCTGCAACCACATTAACCTTGTCGGGGTGAGAGAGGATACACATGTCGTAATATTTCAACAATTTTAACCACCCCTTTTGTCGAAGATTTAACTCCTATTGAGTAAAAACATATTGAAGACTCTTGTGGTCGGTATACACATCAACATGGACACGATACATGTAATGCCACCATAGATTTAAGGCAAATACCAAGTGTGGTAACTCAATCATATGTTTTATAATTTCTCTCATGCACATTAAGTTGTTTAGAAGCATATGCTATTACTTTCACATTTTGCAGGAGGACATACCCTAAAATCATTCGAAATTCATCACAATATACAACAAATCCCTTTGTACCTTCTAGTAAAGTCAACATCGGAGCGGAAGTAAGCCTATTTTTCCATATTTGGAAGCTTCTTGCTCACACCTCCCACCACTCAAAGTTCTTAGTCTTTTGGGTCAACGTAGTCAAGGGAGATGCAATGGATGCAAAACCATCCACAAACCTCCGATAATAACTCACTGGACCCAAAAAACTCTTAATATCAATTGGAGTCAGTCGTCTAGACCAATTTCTCACCTCAGCTCCCTAATTAGAGATTATTTGACCAAAAAACGTTACTGACCTCAACCAAAAATCAAAATTTATATACTTGGCAATGTCACAACCGAAATCTAGACCCTAGACAAAGCCGGTGTCATTGACCTTGTAGAGGTTGCAAACAAGCCTACCTACGTTATTCATACTTCAACTAGGTTAATTTAGCTGAAAATTATAACTTTTTGTTTCTTATTTCATGGTAATTATCTTAAACTTAACGGGCGTTCACAAATAAAACATCTAATATAAATATAGTCAAATGAAAGAAACAGTTCATAATTTCACTAAACGTGTTCTTGCCAAAATGACACCAATACAAAGACTGAATAAAAGTAGAAAGAAACACTAGTGGAACATGTTACACTAGCGATAGCCTACATGTAAGCTAGAAAATAACAGTAGACATCCTTGAAAGCATGAGGGCCTACCAAGTCTTGATGAAAGCTCCATGTCAGGATAGATGCAACGTCAACCTGTAAGATGTAGCCTCCACCTGTCCCTGCACCTAAAATTGTAGAATCGTATGGGATAAGTACATACTTGTACTAAGTGTGGATATCTGCAAGCACACACCAAGGACATGCACGAGTAAGAACAACTCTGTCCTAACAACATGATTATGGAAAGTCAAGTCAGCGGACTTTCTAAAATGGGATTAGGAAAGTCTGTGGAATTGCCAAATCTGAATTAAGAAAGTCATGCCATTAGAGTAACATCCATCATCATACTTATCATATTGCACAAAACACATAACATCTTACACATAGCAACCAACATATTGCATGTAGAACATAACATATTGTGTACAACACATAACATATTTCATATCATTCATTCATACGTCATGAGACTTTGGGATCATAGACTTGACATCAAGACTTTACAAAAATAAAGGCTCCACATGTGGGACCTCAACTAGGGAGCCTTCTTTATAAAACACAGAGTTTGCTTTATTCATTCATATGTATTTCAATTCATTTAATCCATAGGCTATTGTTAACACCACCTATACCTATGATGTAGTTTGAGACTTTCATCAGGTTCGTTGTGCAATAATAAAGTATGACCTAGTATCATTACTTTAGTGTAGCTCACCTCTTTATTATCCTATCCTAACACCTTTGGTATCAATAATTTATTTATGTCATCAGCTGAGGTTGGACTCATTCATTCATTGGGAACTTTAAATTTAACAGACATATACTATGTGAGCATCATGAAATCCAGTGTCTCCTCCACACCGAAAAGAGATGTAATCACCCTCCAAAGTGACCCAAAATATTCTAGTGTACATGGGAATTGTACCCCGCCAGATCCCCATATTGGCAGTAAAGGTTCAATGACTAGGATATATAAGGAGACCCTAAACCGGCATGCCGGGACAGTCTCATCTCATGAGAGTTATGTTAACCTCCACCTTTACCAAAAGAAGGCATCACTTCTCATAGATAGTAGATCGGTGCTCTGCATAAATTTCCATTACATTCAACTCATAAATCATGGAAGCTTTATTCTAGTATGAGGACATCATATCTCAATATATGATTTGCCATCTAGTCGTTAGTGTTAAGTGTGTTTATCTCTATACTTTCATGACAGTGTTCATAGAGACTGGTGTCTTTGTGAACTTTACACTCTCATCGGTGATTACGTTTTGTTAATATTGACATAGGCTTATTTGTGATTTCTCTCATATTTTACATTAGCCTCATATCATGTTGTCACTATATTCATTAACATTAGCACATTTGCTCTTCATAATTACTCACCTTCTTTTTACGTGAATGTTCATTCCATCATATGCCAATGAACTTTGCCATTTAGGGTGTTTCACACTCTTACTTAACCCTAGTATGGTTTCATCTTTGCATTGTTCGTTTCATCATTTACTTGTTCATTTCATCATATGCTAATTCACTTGTCCATTTAGATAGTTTTACACTCTTACTTAACCTTTCTAGGGTTTCCTCATTTCATTATTCATTTCATCATTAAATTACGTACATCTTAGGTTCACTTATTTTTACACGTATGCTAGACTTCTAGTACTATACATACATGCCATGATGCTTTGTCTATAATTCGTTTGAGTGATTCATATCTTCCAAAGTTTATGTGGTACAAGATTTATGCATCTTCTATGTATGCAAAGATCTCGATTTTAATCTAAGTAGGAACCATTATTCTTGAATATTTAATTCACGTATGACTTATGTATCAATATGGAATTTGGGCAAGGGAACCCAGTTTTGAATCCCTTGGACAACACATACATTTTTCATTTATTCTTTTTGGTCCACTTGGATTGGGGACCCAAGATCAAGCTCCAACGCCTTCATTTTCTTTTAATTTCATTTATTCACATTTTCTCTTTCTTTGTCGAGGGGTTGTGGGATCGAACCCCTACATACCCTTTTTATTTTAATTTATATTTCCATGGCTTCTTCGAGGTGACCATGAGGCTGTGGGATCGATCCCCCACAACCTTACTTTATTTTTAATTTTACTGTCCTTTTCTGCATAGAGGTCGTGGGTTCGATTCCCACGCGTCACACTTATTTTCTATTCACTTTTTACTTAAGGCGACTCTGGGGAAAGGGACCAAGGGATAAGAAAACCCATACCTTTTTGATGTTCAAACCTTGACTTTCTTCCCAAAACATCTCCAAAAAAATGTCTAAAATCGAAAGTTCAACACCCCAGTCAACGAAAAACCTTCTCATTGCCTACATGATTGATTAACGTTTATTTTTCTTATATTTTCATGTGAGTTATTCAAGTGTGAAAAACCTTGGTAATTTATTTATATAGAATGTTATTTGGCAGAGAGAAACGTGAATGAAAGAAGATAGATTGAACGTGGAAGTGAGATAGACGTGATAGGAGATAATTACCTTAGGATTAAGAGTCTAGCTTTGGACTTAGTCAAATAAGGTTAACTTAGTTAAAAAAAAATATGATTTCCCTTTTATTTTAATCAGCCAATAAATAATAAATATAAATTAATTACACTAATTTACCAACTTAAATTAAAAACAATTTAAATCATTGCTTCCACCTATGTTCGAACCGTGGTAGAGCAAGACTTCAATTTAAGAGCCAATTTTTGGTCCTCTCTCCCAAAAATTTCCCTTTACCTTATTAATGAAATAATTATTTATATATTTAGGCTAATTATTATCTACGTTTATCCTTGAAAAAGACCATTTTACCCCTAAAACCTTAAAACTTAATATTTCCCCTTTTTAAGTCCGATAAATACTCATCCGAGTAAATCTTAATATTCGGGAGCCCTACATGGTTGGAACCAACCTTTCCTTGCTCAAATAACTCCCCAAGTTAGTTGTCTTGGTGGTAGTAAGGGCTTAGAGGTCTGGTTCTATGCGCATCAATCCGTGTGAACCTGATCTAATAGTAGGCATTCTAAACACATTAGACATTATTTAGCATAGCCATTTTTAGGGGTGTTACATTATCCCCATTTAGGAACATTCGTCCGCGAATGAAACTACTAACTATTTCACATAATGCTAGTCAAAACAAACCTAGTTACTATACGCAATCAAACAATAGAAATTAAGAATGGAGAGATAAGGAAACTTAGCCTTAAGGGTAGGAAGTCTAACCTCACGACCTAAAAAGATAGGGGTAGCAGGATCTTATATTGGCCTCAGCCTCCCATGTAACGCCCTAAAAAAGATGATTCCTCCATACTACCTTCACTGTGGCAATCCCCCTGTTCCTTAGCCCCTTGACTTGTCTATCCAAAATCTCAACAGGTACGTCCTCATAGGAAATTTTTTTATCAACCCCCAAACCTTCAACAGGTAGAATAGATGATGGATCAACTAGGCTCTTCTTTAACATACCGAGATGAAAGACTGGATTAACAGAAGAAAGTTTTGTAGGAAATGCAAACTCATAGGCGACCTCTCCCACACGCTGTAGGATCTCATATGTCCCAATATACCTCGCATTCAACTTCCACGTACTGCCAAACCTCATCACCCCCTTCATATGGGATATCATAAACTAGACTAGTCACCAATATCAAACTCGAAGGATCATTTTCTGTTGTCTGCATATCACTTCTGCCGACTGTAAGAAGTAACTAACTTCTCCATAATCACCCTGACCTTCTCTAACTCCTCAAGGATTATATCTGGACCAAAAATGGATGAATCTCCAACCGTGAAGCACCCAAGTGGAGCGCTACACCTTGTACCATACAGTGCTTTAAACGATGTCATCCTCATGCTTGAGTGATAAATATTATTATATGAGAACTCTATCAAAAGCAGCTGGTCATCCCAAATACCCTTGAATTCAAACATACAGACCCTTAGAATGTTCTCTAATGTCTGAATGGTGCGCACTGCCTGCCCATCAATTTGAGTATAAAAGGCAGTACTAAGCTTCACCTGCGTGCATAAGCTTTTCTGGAAGGATCTCCAAAAATGTGAAATGAACTAAGCTCCTCTATAGAAAATGACAGACAAAGGAATACTGTGCCATCTCACAATATCATCAATGTAGGGTTTCAGATAATCCTCAGCTCTATAAGTAGAGTTCACAGGGATAAAGTTGGAAGACATAGTCATCTTGTCCACAGTAATCCATATGAAGTCATGATTCCTCAAAGTCTTCGGAATACCAACCACGAAGTCCATATTAATGGCTTCCCATTTATATGTTGTAATATCAATTATATGACTACGACTGCCAGGCTTAACATGTTCTGCCTTAACATGTTGACAATTAGGACACTTGGCCACATAATCTACAATGTCCTTCTTGATGCCATCCAACCAATAGATCAGTTTAAGATCATAATACATCTTGGTGGAACCTTGATATATGGACTATCTCGAACCATGAATCTCTACAATGATCTTGGTCCGCAAATCATCCACATCTGGTACACACGATCTTTCCTTGTACCTAAGTATTCCATCATCTCCTAAAGCAAAAGACTCATTCATCATAAGCAACACTGAAACCTTCATCTTTATAACCACAAGGTGAAGATGCTCACTCTCCTTGAATTCAACTACTAAGTATGATTCAGAACTAGGATGAACTGAGACGCCTGAACTAGTAGAGTCAACAAACCGCACACCCTGTCTGTTCGGTCTGTGTATATCATTCACAAACTCCTTTTCTTATCTTCAACATGGGTTTTACTTACCATCCTCATAATACTCAAATCATAAGCTACAACAATATCCCTACCTAGATCGTAGTGGACATTCATGTCATAGTCTTTCAAAAGCTCCAACCACCTCTGCTGACATAGATTCAACTCCCTCTATGTGAAAACACACTAAAGACTTTTGTGGTTTGTGAACACATCGACTCGCACTCCATATAAGTAGTGCCTCCAAAACATCAGTGCGAACACCACAGCTCCCAACTCTCGGTCATCAGTCGGATAATTCTTCTCATAAAACTTTAGTTGTTTGGACGAATAATCTTTTACCTTTCCACCCTGCATAAGAACACTACCTAAACCAACCCTAGATGTATCACAATACATAGTGTAATTCTCATCACACTTAGGCAATGTAAGAACCGAGGCTGAAGTGAGCATGTCCTTGAGCTCCTGGAAATTATTCTCACAAGTCTCCGTCATTCAAACTTGGGCTTCTTCTTAGTCAAAGCTATCAGTGAGGCCGTAATGGAGGAAAAAGTCTCCACGAACATGTGGTAGTAACCATTGAATCCCAAGAGGCTATGGATATCTGTGGGAGAAAGAGAATTTTGCCAGTTCTTAACAACCTTAGTCTTCCTGGGATCTACCTCCACACCTTTGTCAGACACAAAATGACCCAGGAAGGTAGCTGATCTAAGCCAGAATTCAAACTTTCTAAATTAGGCATACAACTGATGTTGTCTAATTACCTGCAAGGTTAGTCTCAAATGTTGTTCATGCTATTCGTTGGTCTGAAAGTAGATGAGAATGTCATCAATGAAAACTATGATGAACGAGTCAAGGTATTCATGTAATACTTTGTTCATGAGAGACATAAATATAGTAGGTTTATTTGTGAGACCAAATTTAATGACGATAAGATAGTAATGAACATAACGGGTCTTAAAGACTGTCTTTGAAACATCTTCATCCCTTACCAAAGCTGATAGGACCCTACATGAAGATCAACCTTAAATAAGAAACTAGACCCTTGGAGTTGGTCAAACAAGTCATCTGCTCAGGGAAGTGGATACTTATTCTTAATAGGGACTTTGTTGAGCTGCAGATAATCCATACAAATTCTAATGGTTCCATCCTAATTTTCCAACAACAACAGTGGAGATCCCCAAGGGGATTTGCTCGGCTGAATGAAACCTTTATCAGTAAGATCATTAATTGTAGATTCAACTCTTTCAGTTCAGCTAGAGCCATTTTGTAAGGAGATGTTGAAATTGGATTAGTATCGGGTTTTAAGTCGATACAAAAGTCAATCTCTCGAGGGGGAGGAACTCTAGGCAAATCATAAGGAAATCTTAGAACTCATTCACTACAGGCACTGAGTCTATGGAAGGAATGTCATGATATAAATAATTAACACTCACAATATGAAATAATAACACCTTGTACATCAATTTATTAGCCTTATGATTTGAAATAAAGGTATTAAGACGACTCGAGTTGTACCCCTCCCAAACTATCTGTTCATCATTAGAGAAATGAAATCTCACAAACCTACAATGGCAATCCATACAAGCATAACAACTATAAAGACAGTCCATGCAAAGAATAACATCAAAATCATGCTTAGATAACTCAACCAAGTCTGCACACATATTCTTACCACTTACAACTATTGGGCAATCCCACTAAAATCTATCAGTTCTGACATTTTTTCCTAAAGTTGTTCTAAGCCTTTAGGATCATGCATGATATTCAGGCAATATTTCAAAAGTGAGAGCAAGAAAAGGAGTTATCAAGGAAAGTGTAGACCGTGGATCAAGTAAAGCATAAAAAGAAATTGAGAATACTTGCTGCATTCCTTTGACCACTTTAGTGGATTTCTTCTACTCCTCGTTGCCCTTAAGGGCGAAGAACCTGTTTCTTTTAGGAGGATCGACTGTTGATGCATCCTGTGGATTAGGTATAGACTGAGTATTACCTCCAGTCTGACCTCATTTCTGTGGGCAGTCCTTAACCACGTTCCTGCTCTTACCGCAACTGAAGCATGAACTATTGTCATGTCTGCACTCTCCAATGTGAGTACAACCACACTTAGCAGATCCCTTTCTGGGACACTGCATCTCACCTCCATTGCCCTTCCTGGGCTCAAATCTTCCTCCTCTAGGTGTGGTACTCCTCTGAGAGTTACAGTTCCCTGAACTCTGTTGCCCCTTTTTTAATCGAGGCTGCTCATGGACACCAATGTTGTTTCTATTGCCTCCATTACTAGAACCTGACTGATCTTGAGGCTTAGGACTTCTAGCATCGTGGATGCCCATATTCTTATAGCTCTCCTCTTCCTGTTGGACATGTATCATCTACTTGGAGAGGTCTATGTTATCATGGAGTGTCACAGACTGACAATCCTCCTCCAAGTCTCCATTTATTCTTGTGAGTAACCTGCTCATCTCATCCCTTTGTTTAGATACAAGGGAAGTCGCATACCTGGACAATTTGACAAACTTTAGGCAATAATAGATGACTGTAATTGATCGGTTTTTAATGTTGATAAAATCTTCAACCTTAGTTTCCCTCATCGCTATGGGAAACAATCTCTCCAGAAAGGCTGTCTTAAATAGCTCCCAAATGATCGAAACTCTACCCAAAACTCCACCATGTTGCAACATCTTGCACGAAGTCGGTGCAACATCCTTGAAATGATAGGAAGCCAACACTACTTTCTCAATACTTGTTTCCCCTATAGCCACCAAGTTCTTATGCACCTCATCGACAAACTCCCAAGGATCCTCCAAAGTCTTAGAAACTTTTAAATTATGAGGATTCATTCTCGTAAAGTCTCTTAGCGTGTCATCCATACTGCAAAATATTGTGTTCTCCTCATGAATATTCTGTTGGTTGACTTGGTAAGTCATGGCCTCGTCCTGCATAGTGTGGCGTATGCCATCTAGGCCAAAGATGCCCTCACCTCAGCATCAGTCAACCCAACAGGATTAACCAGCAAAGCCACTCCTTAAACTGGATACTGGGGTGGAACTTGATTGCCCCCAGCAGCTGCTTCTCCTTTCATCTAGCCAATTGTTCTCCTAATATTCATTCTCTATTAACGACAAGGACTGATGTTAGACATGCTCCTAACATCGAGAACCAAAATTAGGAAAGGCATGATAATATCATAAGAAGGGAAATTTTCCTACGCGTTATGCAGTCTATAATTAAGAATAGTGGTGCACTTTACTACTTTGACTTACAAACCACTCTGTGGTTGATGTGAACTTATTATGCTTGTAATTTAACCTAGCGCTCTTATAAAAACTTTGTCACGAACAGAATCTAGACCCAGATGAGACCGACATCATTGACCTCTCACAGTTTTCATACCAGCCTACAAACGTCAGTCATTCTTACTTCATCTAGATTTATTTTAGCGGAAAATTTGATTTTTTTTTATTTCATGCTAAACAACTTAAACTGAATATCATAGGCGTGCACAAATAAACCATCTAATATAGAGATAATCAAATGAAAGAAACAGTTCATAATTTTTTAAACGTATTCTTGCAAAAACTACACCAATACAAAGTCTCAATAAAAGTGGAAAGAAACACTAGTGGACAAGATCTTCTCGCTATAGCCTACATCAAATTTATATAATGGTAGACATCATTGAAAGCATGAGGGCCCAGCAAGTATGGATGAAAGCTCCACGTCTGGATAGATGCAACATCAACTTGTAAGCTCTAGCGTCAACTTGTGGCTGCACCTAAATTTGTAAAGTTGTATGGGATTAGTACACACTTGTACAAAGTATGGGTATACGCAAGCACACAGCAATAACATCCATGAGTAAGAAAAACTCTTTCCTAAAAACATGATTATGGAAAGTCAAGTTAGTGGACTTGCCAAAATGGGATTAGGAAAGTAAGTGGACTTGCAAAATTTGGATTAGGAAAGTCCTGCCAAGAGAGTATCATGCATCATCATACTTATCATATTGCACATAACACATAACATCTTACTCATAGCACATAACATATTGCATATAGAACATAACATATTGCGTATAGCATATAACATCTTTCGTATCATTAATTCATACGCCATGAGACATTGGAATCATGGACTTTACATCAAGACTTCACAAAAATAAAGGCTCAACATATAGGACCTTAACTAGGGAGACTTCTTTAGAAAACACATAGTTTACTTCATTAATTCATACGTACTTGATTTCATTTCATTCATAGGCTAGTGTGAACACCAGCTATAACTACTATATAGTTTACAACTTTCATCGGGTTCGTCGTGCATGATAAAGATTGACCTAGTATCATTACTTGAGTCTAGCTCACCTCTTGATTATCCTATCCTAACACCTTTGGTATCACTCATTTCATTATCTGCATCAGCTGAAGTTGGACTCATTCATTCATTGGGAACTTTAAAATGTGACTGACATATACCATGTGAGCATCATGAAATCCGCTGTCTCCCCCACACCGAAAAGAGATGGAATCACCGTGCAAAGTGACCCAAAACATTGTATCGTACATGGGAATTGAACCCCGCCAGATCCCTATATAGGCAGTAAAGGTTCAAAGACTAGGAGTTATAAGGAAACATATAACCAGCATGCCGGGACAGTCTCATCTCATGAGAGTTATGTTAACCTCAACCTTTACTGAAAGA